ACAAATTTCAATTAAATTCTGGAAAATGCAAAGAACATCGAATACATTTTACTAAAGACCTTGCAGAGACGAACCAGTCAAGAAGTGGTAACATCCGCAAAAATCTTAGGAATGACCATTACCGATGATTTAAAATGGAATGTCCACGTGGCAAATATTTTATTTAAAGCTTCCAAACGACTTTATCTCCTGAAACAGTTAAAACGTGCGAATATCGATACTAATTCATTGATCAAATTCTACTGCGCCTGTATCAGATCTGTCCTAGAATACGCTAGTCAGGCCTTTCACTCAGGCCTTCCTAATTTTCAAAAGAAATTGAACAAATTCAGAAAAGAGCCCTAAGAATTATTCACCCTTACGTGGATTATAGTGAAGCGTTGGAAATGGGCAACCTAGAAAGACTAAACGACCGTAGAGAGAAATTATGTGAAAAACTGTTTCGTGAAATTGAAGAAAATGAAGATCACAAATTTCACGGATTTTACCAGAAATGAATAAGGCTAGTTATAACTTCAGAACAATTAACAAATATAATCTCCTAACGATTAGGACAAATAGATTTAAGGACTCTTTTATCCTTGAGTACGCATCACGAAAGGAAATAAAAACGAACTTATTTTAAATATTTGAATGTATATATATATATATAACAATTTTTTTAAACATTAGTACTATGTATTTATAAATTTTATAACAACCAATTGTAATTCAGTCATTGGACTGCAATAATTGATTTAATAAACGATTCATCTATCTATGTAGAACTTGCGTAGTAACGCCGCAAATGCGATCCACAAAGAATACATATACAAAGACATCTCACCCATTGATTTTGCAACACAAGCTCTTGCTATTCATTAAAATTACATGCATTTGTTAAAATACATGCACACCCTGAACTTTATCGAATTGATATCGGCAACTAGATCGGTAAAACAAACGTAGCCCCTCACCCTTATGTAAAAAAATTGTAATTTCCCAAACTCTGGAAGACACGTGACTAGCCTGGACCACCTTCGAAGGCCGCGGGTTCAAAACCCAGCAGCGGCAGACAATATGGCTGCTTGCGCGCGGTCTGGAAATTATGAAATACTCACTCGAGAACATTTTCCACTTATCATATTACCGAGTGGACAATAACACATAATAACATAACACTTGCACAACTAGTATTGTTTGATGCTGAATTAATATAAACTAGTATGTTTATGACTTTCACGTTTATTGTTCATAATTTACATGCAGTCTTAAATCCGTCTGGCCGTGTAGTTCAGTTGGTAGAGCGTCGATCTAGTAATTCGAAGATCGCGAATTCAAAACCCAGCCGCGGCAGGCAATATCTTTCTGCTTGCGCGCGGTCTGGAAACTCACTCGAGATTATATGTATATTATATATATATATATATATATATATATATATATATATATATATATATATATATATATATATATATATATATATATATATATATATATATATATATACGAGTAGGTTTATGAATACGAAACGCAAAGAGTGCTCAATATCATAAAGATAGAGCAAATGTAGAATTTCGCTTACCTCAAAATTCCGCAACAGTCTGTTTCATCAGTAAAGAATCATATATATATATATATATATATATATATATATATATATATATATATATATATATATATATATATATATATATATATATATATATATATATATATATATATATATATATATACACACATATATATATATATATATATATATATATATATATATATATATATATATATATATATATATATATATATATATATATATATATATATATATATATATATATATATATATATATATATATATATATATATATATATATATATACATACATATTAATCACCGTGAATAAGTATTTTTTAGTGAACAGGAAAAGCTGGGACTGAGTCGGATTCGAACCGGCGACCTCTGGGTTACAAGCCCACCGCTCTACCAACTGAGCTGTCAGCCAGGTGGTATATTCGAACCCAACCAGTTACAACCATTGCTGCCCACCCACATGGCCACTCACCAAAGCCATGCTGGTAATTAGATAAGCATGCTATGTAATTAGATAAGCATCCTTTACCATCTGTACATATTTAAAAAGTTCGTTAAAAACTAGAGGTCAAACATAGGCTATTTATCTGAAGAGTGCCACGTTATTTACGTGGTACGAAACTGTATAGTAATAAATATTATTATTATTATTATTATTATTATTTAAATTTATATTGCGCGAGGTTCCATAGGGAGATGCTCACCTGCGCATTACATAATTGATAAAACAAGTGTATGTACATGAAAAGCTAAAATTAATTAAGTAAAAATTATGTGTT